CCCAAGCTCCCAGCGCCCTCCTGACAGAACTCTGGCCTTCCCCAGGGAGACTCCGGAGGACCGCTGAACTGCCAGGGGGCTAACGGTCAGTGGGAAGTGCATGGAGTGGTCAGCTTCGGGTCCTCCCTCGGCTGCAACTACTACCATAAGCCCTCTGTCTTCACACGGGTCTCCAACTACATCGACTGGATCAATTCGGTAAGACTTGGGCTCCATGAGCCCTGCCCTGCTGACCTGGCCCCAAGAAGGCAATGCCCATCCACGGTCTGAGAGCCCTTCCTTCCTCCTGAGAGCCAGGAGGAGCCCCTGGCTCAAACCCTATTGTGCCCCTTCCAGGCCCCCACAATTGCTATGTGGATAAAGTTGAATGAAAAGGCATATAGAGAGTGGACTTGTCCAGAGAGGTTGAAAATAAAAGACACTCCTCAGGCGTTAAGATTGGGTTCCTTAGGATTAGCGGGGTATTTTACTTTTGTTTATCTGCATGTAGGCCCGGACCCCACCATCCAATGCTATGAACATATTTACCTGCAAAGACCAAAACCCAATGGGTTGAGACCCCTCACAACCTTAATTATTGGAAACTAGTCACCCTAAAGGGTCCCCCAATTATTTTGTAGGTGCCAACCATCTCAGTTCACCCTGGACTGTGAGGTTTCTTGGGAGGCAGGACTTTACATTTTAGACTAGGATAGGCCAGGGAGATGGGTCCCATATTATCGTGGCTGTGTCCCCAGAGAGCTGTCTCCTGGGAGCTCAAAAACCGGTACCTCCTAAGCTTCCACACCAGCTCAATTCCTATTTTAACAATGAACACATATTTATAGTGAAAACCGTAAATATTATTTTTTTAAAAAACTGGCACCAACCTGGGGAGAAGCCAGGGTTACAATCCACAGCCACAACAGGAAGAACCATCACAAGGGTGGGAGGGCCGGGGGCCTGGGGCAGGGAGGCGGAGGCATTGAGCCTGGGGATGGGTGCCGGGAGGGAAGACACCCCCAGGCATCACCACCGCCTCGGTTTGCTCTTCTGTAAAATGGGCCTTGAACTAGACCAGGACTGTTCCACGTTTTTAGGAGGCAGAGCAAGTGGGAGCTGTGCTGTTTGTGGCAGAGCCCCTGAAGAAGGGGAAGCTGGCATCCGATGTCATTATTTTAATTTTCAGAGAACTGTTCAGTTGACTCACACTGATGCTCCATTATGAAATCAAATATGAAACCACAGTCATAAGCATGTGGTCACTGGAGGAAAACTGTGCTGTCAAATGGGCCTTGTCAAAATAAGGCGGCTGCCTCCAAGTCTCCCATCAATACTTGCCGGCTCCTTGTTCATTTGTCTGTCTGCTGGCATTTCTTTGCCAACAAGTAGTCACAGACACCAGATTCCTGAAAAGTTTGTTGGAGAAAAACCTAAAATCAAGAAGAGAGTGGCTATTCATTTGCAAGGTTTGTTTTGTTTCATTTCTGGTAAATTGGGGGAAAGCCATGATTCCGTTTTGGCAGAGGAAAATTTGAGTCTGGCTTTTGAAGTGTCACTAGCATTTCAAAGGAGCTTGGCCCAAGACTGATCAGACGGAAGGATGCTTAGAGGCCTTTTCCCAGACAAATCCTAGGATCTTTTTCTAGCCCCAGCTCTGCATGAGTCACGGTGCAGCTGGTCCTGGCAGTAACTTGAGGGCTCAAAGCAGGGGCATGGAGCAATTGTCCCGATTTTTTGTCCCAACATCAGCTGTTCCCAGCCACACACTCAAGCACAACAGAGTAGGTCACAAAAATATGGCCAGATGTCAAGGGGATCAATGGGCAAAGCAAGCGTCGCCAGGCAGGGCAGCTAAGCAGGGGCCTTGTATTCACAGGACAGCAGCCAGGGCAGGCACATATGCCTGGCAATGGGTTCCAGGAGTGGCAGAGCCAAGCGACCAGCTGTCCTCTGGTGGAGGCTGCCCCAGCAGCTGCAGAGGGGCTAGTGAAACCTTGCAGTCATCTCAGCCCAGAGGCACACCTGGAGTCACACACAGGTGCTTGGAAGCACCTGCCCAGATACCTAGATAGGTGACAAGTCAAGGTCAGGAAGCTGCCAGCAAAAGGCTAGAGCAGGAAAGTGACAAGAGGAGACAGGTGGCCAGGGGCTTTCATCCTTTCCACACATGTTCACTGAATGACAGCAACACATGAATCTTCAGCGTCCACTTTTTAAATTTTCCTTTTAGAAGGTAATACTCTCTTTGTAAAAACATTAAAAGAATATAGGAGTATGTCAAGTAAAAAAGCACAAGTCCCCCCTTATTTTACATCTCCCATTCCACACCCCAGAGATAATCACTATCGACAGTGTCATCTTCTGAACTTTGTTACATATATACACACTCTCTTTTAACCAAAAATAGGACTTTACTCTTCATACTGTTCTGCAACTTAGCTTTTCTACTTAACACCCTAACTACTTATCCATTTTACATGTGAGCACATACACGTATGGCATTCTTCTGAACAGCTAAATAATCTTCCATAGCATGCGTATAACGAACGAAACGTTCCTCTGGTTCCTATTTTCCACCCTCACATTGCCGCAGTGAACATCCTGGGGCACGTGTTCTTGCACGATGCTTGACTATTTCTGTGTGCTCCCGGGACCCAGCAGCATCTATGGATCATGGAGTTGGCATGTTCCGTTTAAGAGAAAACTGCTTAACAGTCTCAGAAAACAGGGGACAGCCCCACCCACAGTGCATAAGAGCACCACGCAAATGGCAGTGCTTGTTAACAATTTCAGGGCTCTCATGCCCTTTGAGGAACAAATGAAATCTGAAACTCTGCCCATCCACACATTCAGCATATAAATTTGTAAGAGTTCCCCCAGCGGGTCAGTGAAAAGCTGTGATAACGTCTTTTTCTCTCCAGCATCATTAATGCTCCTCAGGCCACCTCCGATTGACAGGAACGGCAAGGAGCCTTGGAAAGATAAAGCCATGACACTGCCAAGCCCAGGTCTCTGCTTTGCTAGGTTAACGGGATGATTTTCTTGTGTGTGTCCTGCAGGTGATTGCAAATAACTAACCACCAGAAGTCCCCGGGACTGTTTCATACTTGGAAAAGTCGCAGAAGGCAAATAATAAAGTGACAACTACATGAATCACATCTGGGTGAGAGTCTAATTAGTGAACCATCCTCATGTCCAGGGCTCTAAAAGCAACAAAGAGGCCCGTGGGGACAGCTTAAAAGCCCAACATTTCACTGTCGAACATCAAGGTCACCCTGCAGTGAGGGTCCCTCAGCCAGAAAGGCACCTGGAGGCGTAGGCTGGACTCAGAAGACCCAGGTCTGGCCAGGTCTCTCCCCTGGACAAGCAACCTGACCTCCCTGAATATGCGGTTCCCGCCCCAGTGACCTTCCTGGGATGCGGTGGGGAGCAAATGAAATGAGATAGGAAATATTTAGAAAAAATACAAAAGTCTCCTTTATAAGAAAGAACAGAGTTGAAGCAAAATGGGGGCTGGGGGACAGGGAGAACAGGCAAACGAGAGTCCATATTAACATAAGATTTATTTTTTTAAGAATACTGCAATACAGAAAAATTAATCATTTTTAAGACTTCATTCAAGATTCACAGATTCCAGCTGTTCAGACTCCAGTAGCTCTAAACTTGCTGACCTAAGAGAGATGCTGGTTTGTTTACAGCTAAAAAATTCCCAGAGTTCAGTGGTTCTCAAGTAAAGGCCCACCAGGGGACATTTGGCAATCACCAAAAACATTTCTGGTTGTCACTATTCGGGGAGAGGTGCCCCTGGCATCTAGTGGGTAGAACCCAGGGATGCTGCTAAACATCCTACCATGCACAGCACAACTCCCACAGCAAAGGACTGACTACCTGGCCCCAAATGTCAATGGTGCCGAGGCTGAAAAGCCCTGCTCTAGAAAAAATGCAAAGGTCACAGACCACGGACGTTAGCCAGGGAACCAGCCACTGGTAAAGAGCCACAAGTCTGTCCACAGCATGCTTCTGCTCCTCTTCCTCCCTCGGTGGTCATTTGTCTCCAATTTGGGAGCCACTAAGCACCTGTCTGCCGCCAGTGGGGAAAGAGCAGGCCCTCGACGGGTTACAAAATCTTCAATGTGTGACAGCCGCAGATGAAGGAAAGCCCAGGCCTCACCCGCCAGGCCTGGAGCAGGAAGGTTTGGGGGTGAAAGGTGAGGCAGGGTGAGGGGCTCTGGCTTCATGAAGTTTTAAAAAAGAGTTTTTTCCGGAGAAAGTTGAAACAGCCAGGAATCTGTTTGTAAATCCCTTTTTGCGAGACAGCATTAGCGACCTGTGAAAACATGACCATAGGGAGGTCTGTGAATTCTCTCCATGGAAGTAAGAATACCTTCGATTTTTAGAATAGAGGAGGGGCTAGGAGGAATGCTCCCTGAAAAAGCATTTTTAAACCCTCTAACTGCAGCTTTCTGGGGTGGGCTGGGGAGTTTGAAGAACAAACATCTCAGCTGTAAGTTTTGAAAACTCAGAATTCAAACCTTCAAAATTCAAAAATTCACAAAGTTTACATCAGATAGAAAGGTCTGCTTGAAGAAAAGCTGAAAGCAGCACTGGGGCCCAGGAGCTGGGTGCCCTGACGGACCCCAGCCCCGCCGTGCGGGGCCCAGGCCAACTCTGAGGTTCACCTGCCCAGGGCCATGGGACACGGCGGCCCTGCACTTGGCTTTTCTTCTCTGCTCCACTCAACAACGCACAGAACCAGACCCTCCTCAGGAGGAGTGGCCCCAGCCCTTGCAGCCCCTTCTCGTGGCACAAAATACCTGGGCAGAGCAGTGGGGGCCTGCGTGTGCTCTGGGACCCTCGGAGGAAGCCGCTGCTCTGAGTCAGACTTCACTCGGTGAGGCTGGGGCCCTAGTAGGCCATCCTCCCTGTTCTCTATCTGGGGCCTCCCGAGAAGGGGACATAATAAAGAGGATTCATGACTCTTGAGGGTCAAGAGTAGTTGACCACGCAGTGGGGCAAAGGGTGTGAGGAGAGCCCCACGACCTGCCTTCAGGGTTGCCATGCCCTGTCCATTGAGCCATCCAACCCGGGTCAGTGTGGAGAGTGGGAGGTGTCACCTGGGCTCCTCAGAGCAGCAGGGGAAGGCAGCCCTTGGAATAAGGGGCAAATGTCACCACAGGCAGTAACATCTCGCATTAAGAGAAGCAAAAGCACTGACTCTCACGGCAAGCCAAGGGGCAGAAGCGGACGGGGTTTCACCACCTTTTACCTTTGGTCTACCTGCTCCCCCCACCACCCCGCCTGGCGAGGACACACTGCCCCTCCCCAGCAGCCTCCCCTGTCCTTCTGGCAACACTCACCCTCAGCAGGAGGCTATGCAGGTCTTCAGAGTGAGCCCACTGCTCAAAGATGTTGTCCAGGGTCTCGATGTACCAGGAGCCACTTTTGGGGTCCCTCCACGAGACAAAGCCTTCGGAAGGAGAAAGGCTGAACTTTGCTGGAGAGCCGCCCCTCCCCACGCATGCGGGCAGGGGCCACCTCTGAACAATACACCTCCGGCAGGAGCAGCCCACATCTCTGCACTCTGTCCCATTCATGATCCCATTTCATCCTCACCAGCACCTCGTGACACTGGTTATGATTCCCGTTCTCCCAACAAGCAAACCGAGGCTTGGAGAAGTCAAGAGACTCCCCTGAGGGACAAGAAAGGATGGAGACTAACACCTGTCACACCGGCTCTGTAGCAAGCACTGTGCTTGGTGATGTGCCAGCCACCTTGTGAATCCCCATGTCAACCCCTGAGGCCTGATTATTATTCCTGTTTTAAAGTTGAGAAAAACTGAGGCCAGGGCAGGACAAGGGTGACCCAAGGGTGTGTGCCTCCTCAAATTCTGCACCCTAGGCACCTCGCCTGCCTCACCCTGGGCTGAGGCTCCGAGAGGTGAAGCGACGTGGTCAGGGTCACACAGGCGGCAAGAGGCAGAACCAAGACTCACACGCGGGTCTTTTCCTTCACACACAGTGGCTTCTAGGGCAGATGGGAGCGGGGGACCTGCTGGCCGACGCACTCACCTGGGAAGGTAGAGTAGGACACAAAGATGTCACTCGGTGTGGGCAAATTAGACACAGCATCCGGCTGGTCACAGCTGCCTGAACGGTCCTGGAATGGCACAGCGTCTGGCTCAGGGTTGCTGCCGGGGGCCCTGTCCTCAGGGGAAGTGGAGACCACCGCAAACCCACAGTCTTTCCGCTCTGCAGGAAGCAGAAACAGACACCACTCGTCACTGAGACACACAGACCAGAGCTCCTTGCTCCACGCAGCCTGTCCCCAACATCGCCTGATTCCCTCTGGAGCCAGGGCTCCCTTGCTGGGCAAACATGAGTAGGAAACTGAAATAGAAGCTTTACTTTTTTCTACAACCAAAATTTGACACATTCATTAAGTAAAATTTGAGGAGGGAAGAGGATGCAGGAATTTAAAAACCAGTTATAAAAAGTTACCAGGTATATACCCAAAAGAGCTAAAAACAGGGGTCCAAACAAAAACTTGTACACAAATGTTCACAGCAAAATTATCCACAATAGGCAAAAGGTGGAAATAACCCAAGCGTCCGTCAACAAGTGACCACATAAACAAAATGTGGTGCAGACACCCAATGGGATATTATCAGGCTCAACAAGGAATAAAGTACTGATCCATAACACGTGTGGATGAACCCTGCAAGCATGCTAAGTGAAAGAGGCCAAACATCGAAGACCTCATAATACGATTCCATTTATAAGACATATCCAGAAGACGCAAATCCATAGAAAAGAAAGCGGATTAGTTGTTGCCAGGGTCTGGGAGGAGGCAGGAATGGAGAGTGACTGCCACTGGGTTCGGAGCTTCTTTATGGGGTGACGAAGGGGTTCTGGAATTAGGCAGTGGTGATGGTTGTACGACACTGTGAATGTTAATGCCACTGAACTGGGCATTTGAAAATGGATTAAATGGCAAATTTTATGTCATTAAAGAACAAGTCACATTATCCAGCCCTGAAAAGGACGGAAATTCTGATACATGTCACGACATGGATGAACCTTGAGCGACATATGCTAAGTAAAATATTCTACTTCTGTGAGGTTCCTAGAGCGGTCCAGTTCACAGAAACAGAAAACAGAAAAGTGGTTTCTAGGGGCTGGGGAGCGGGGAGGGGAGTTAGTGTTTAACCGGGGACAGTTTGTTTTGCAAAATGAGAAGGTTCTGGAGATGGAGGATAGTGGTGGCTGCATGACAGCATGAATGTGCTTAATGTCACTGAGCTATACACTTAAAAATGGATAAGATGGCCAATTTTATGTGTATTGTACCACAATGGTTTTAAATTACCAAAAATGGTCACAGAATAATATGTAAAGTATGACCCATTTGGCATATATATGATGGATGGATGGATGGATGGATAGATAGATGAGAGAGAGAGAGAGAGAAAAAAAAAATCTGGAAGGAAACACATCATTGGTACCAGTGGCTACTTCTGAGGAACGAGACTGGGAGCAGGGATGGCAGAGGACTTGCACTTTTCATCTTTAAAGGACATCTGAGTCTGACTTTTGCATGTGTTGAATCGCTCTTGATCTCGTCAGTTTACACTTGGTAACTGGCTGCTTTCTCTAACCGCATTTATGGCCTCTTCCCCGCCACACATTAAATCTCAACATAATGAGTCAAAACAAAACGAAGCCCAGCCATCTTGGCAGCGCCCAAAGACCACAACGGCTGACAGTTGGCTGCATCTCCTTCCAGTCGTTTGTGGATTTGTTTTCACCTGGTTATTCGCAGGTTCAACTAAGCACGCTTTATTCCCCAATTGCAACATCATGAGGATTTTCCTCGGGTTATTATGAAGCCTTCTTTAAAATCATGGCTTATGACACAGATGGCAGACACATACACACATGGAGCACCCCTGGGGTACAAAGCACCAACACCGGCATTGAGGGAAGATACAAAGTTAGAAGATGGGGTCCTCTGCCTAAGGGGTAAATGTCCAAACTGGAAAAAACAAAAACAAAAACAAAAACCTGCATTGAGACAGATAAAAATAATTTTTTAAAAACTATATAAAACTCATCTTTTTTGGGTGCGGGTAGGAATAAAGTTGAGGAAACTGTTCACTATATTACAAAGCGCCCATTTTAAGACAAGTAAGGGGAGAAAACTCGCCATTCTAAGCTCGGCCCGTCTGAATCCCTCCCCAGCTCTAACTCTATCTCTGGTCAGCAGTTAACTTGTCAAGACTGGCTGAAACCAGTCAAAACCAAGGTGACTATCTACATGACATCCAAAAGATTTTAAAGCTCATTACAACGTAATCTCCATGCTAAATATCCCACCGACCAGAGCCAGGATGGTTGACAAGGACAAGGACAACAGCCAGAAGAGACCATAAACAAACAAAAAGAGAGTGGAACTCTGATCCCGGGAAAGCTCTCACCCCTCCCCACTCCAAAAGATCCCTGACTACTCCTCCCACCTGTCTCCCTAAACCTCCCCTTCATTCCTACTATCCTATTTCAGTACCCTTCAAAAGCAAAGGGGCCGGAAGTTGATCTGAAAGCTGTGCTCCCTCCCATTCTCTGACCATAGAATAAAAGCTTGCACTGTTAATGCTCACTTTTGGTCCTGGTCTCAACTTTGGCTTTGCGACACGAGATCCCTGACTACTCCTCCCACCTGTCTCCCTAAACCTCCCCTTCATTCCTACTATCCTATTTCAGTACCCTTCAAAAGCAAAGGGGCCGGAAGTTGATCTGAAAGCTGTGCTCCCTCCCATTCTCTGGCCATAGAATAAAAGCTTGCACTGTTAACGCTCACTTTTGGTCCTGGTCTCGACAGTGGCTTTGCGACACTGACCGGGAAAAGAACCCTGCTTGGGGTCCTCATAAAGGAGACTCATCCCTTGGTAACTGATCCCATGAGTGATTCTACCTCATCCTCCTGTCTCGCCTCTGCTGCTGGAAAGCGCAAGCCAAATCTGCAGGCCGCCTCTCTACGCATGTGAGACCTCACAGGATGCATGTCGAGATTCCAAACTTATTCTTCCTGGCATTTCCTCTGTTTTGTTCTATATCATTTGCACTTCTGAAGCTATTGCAAATCTTCTCTTAGAATCAAAGAAGGCATCAAGTCACAAGGGATCCATGGAGATGTTTACAGCTCCTGATCCAGAAATTTCTTGAGGAAATAATTCAAGTGGAGCCAAAAGCCCTCTATATAAAGACATCTGTGGTTGTATGAGTCAAAAATTGAATATCATCTAAATGGCCGACATTAGGGAAATGGTTTGGTAAGCGATTACATATCACTGACATGGAAGATTAGAAAGCCACCAGCGATGATGAAGACTGTGGGCACGTGGGAAATGTGTAAGGGACAAGGTTAGGTGAGCAAAGCACACTGAGCCCAGGGGCCAAGCGCCAAAGTTAAGAGGCAAAAACGAGATGGCTGGGTCAGGATTCTGCATGATTTTAAATTGTCATATTTTCTGTCTTTTCAGTTTTAAAATCTAACCACCCACCCCCAAAGGCAGGGGAAGGCCTGGAAAACAGAGGGGTCAGGGCAGGACGGGAGCCACACACAGCTCAACCGCAGAGTCGCTGGGGTGGCAATGCCACAGGAGGTCTCCCGAGGTGACTTCCCTGGCAGGAGGCAGAGTTCACTGCAGGGTAAAAAGAGCCACTCAGTAAAAGCAGGCAGAGGGCAGAGGGGCCCAGAGGGTCCTCAGGGAAGTGTTTCTGGAGCAAGGGACGGAGGCCCCTGCAGGCTCCCATGTGAAAAGAGGGAACAGTCTTGGTGGCAGACATGGCACGCAGTGGGCAGGCCCGTGGGCAGGAGAGCAGGCAGTCTGTGTGGCCGGACACACGGTGGGAAACAGCAAGGTGGGAGGGAGGGAGGTCACAGTTCACCCAGGGGACCAAGACAAGACAGAGAAGTTGTGGCAACCCCATAATAATAACCCCAACACCCACTGACCTCTCGCTCCACAGAGCTGAAGCTCTGAAACCTGGTCATCTGTCTGTTCTCACAACCCAGGATTCTGCCTTCGATCTTCTTGCCTCTCAGCCCCCTGAGGTGCTCCATGGAGGGCCCCAAGCCTGCAAAGGGGGCTTCCTAGATCTATGGAAGCTGGACTATTCTACAGCTTACTCAAGTCGCTGCTTCTGGTTGTTTCCTTGGTCGAGATTCTGGAATCTGCCCCACGTGTCTGGGGATGACTTGAGGTGGCGCAGGGCAGGGGATCTGAGATGGGAGCAGGGACTGCTGCTGGGTCTGCCTGGGCAGCCAGGTGCAGCAGGGGCAGGGGGCGCTTCAGGGGGGGATGACTTAAGAATGGCCTAAGGAGACAGGGATGGGCAGAGGGACTGCCTGTGAAAAAACGGAGCAGAGACAATGGGATCCGAGAGGGAAATATGGAGGAAAAGAGAAAGAGTGGGTCAGACGGGGGATGCCAGCTGCGTCTCCATTCATGTGTCATCCTTTCTACAAATCTGATGCGAAGGCCGCACTATATGCCTTTTACACATGGCTTTGTTCTTAAAGTGCGTCGATAATTCAAAGCTCCCTGTGAGGCAAGACTAGCTTCCCCATAAGAATAAATATACAGTGGGAAGAGGAGCTGTTCGCTCGGTACACAAAATCCACAACCACTGCAGCATACTGTTCTTCCTCTGCCTTTCCAGCATGATCTCTCATACTCTGAAGAGGGGTCACCCAAAAGTTACAGCTCGGCCCAACAGGGGCTGCTCAGCTTTGGCCAAGAGCATCGTCACACTGTGTCACCTTGTATCATGCTACTTGTTCGCTGACATTCCACACTGAAGTCACTGTTGCTGAGGTACATTTTTCTGCCCTGGTGCCTGCACTATCTCTTTACGAAGGGGCAGTTAGAGGATTTTTAAATTGTAACAACAGTGAACTTTAAAACAGCAACATAAAAGTCACCAAAATCCAGGGCAGACGATCTGATGCCTGTAAACAACAGGATACTCCCCCAGACACTGACAGAGACAGGGACATTTGGTTATTTCTGTTCTCAGCTGACATGCCGCCCTCATGTGGCGACAGCGTTAAACACAAGGTCACGTGGCCTGGGGGGAGCCAGGCAGGGCCAGGAACTCCAAAGGCAGCTGATTCCAACTTTGGAATCTTGCTGTTCCCAGTGAGTTGTTTTGGTTTGTTTTTTAGTGGAAGGAATGGACATTATTTCAAATTTCGCTCACAGATATTTTTATATGGTTCTATTTCATATTCAAGTTCAAATAATTAGAATTCACATAAGATACAACCAACCATACTGTGAGCTTTGTGCCAGGACGAGGACCTGGCTGTAGGTCAGACAGGCCTAGCCCTGCCCTTGGAGAGCTGACCAGGGAATACGGCAATTTCAACGCAAGGAGAAGGTGCTGTGACGGGGAAGAACGGGGCTGCAGGAACACAAGGGCCAGCTAATCCTGGCAGTTCGAGTAAGAGTGGGTGTTTAGGGAAGACTTCCTGGAGGAGGTGACAATAAGTTGTGATCGGAGGATGGATGATTAAGAGCTGGCCAGGAGACAAGGCAGAGGAATAGCACATGGAAAGGCCAAGGAGCCTGTGACATCCTGGGGAAGCTGAGCGGTGCTGGGGCGGGCACAGCGTGCCACACTGGGGGAGGTGAGGCGACCAGGGCCAGATCACCAAGGGCCACATAGGTCCCACTAAGGAGTCCAAACACACCGCAAAGATCATCCATGCTGCTGAGAAAGGATATGGGGGTGGGCACCAGGCCGCAAGACCAGCTAACTAACTTTCCCAGAAAGTGGGCCTCCCTTTCTCTGGGGTAGTGGAAAGGGGGTCTAGTTGATGGGGAGTCAGGAGGTGATGATAAGGAAAATGAGTTTTTTTTTCTCCTCCACTTTGTTTATTTTTGTCAAGTCTCTTGAGTTGAAGTTGCCAAAGTTGCATGAGCCTCTGATGCTAATGCAACGTGAGATGAAGACTCTCACCTCTAACGGCTGAGAGCTCTCCAGCCGGATGCAGGTGCTGCCATTTAAACAACAGTGGCCATGTTTGGGACCCTCTGCCTGCCTGGAGAGACCCCTTGGACATCGCGAGGGGCTGGATGGAGACGCAAGCAGCTCCTTCCCCACTAAATTCATCTGCAGAGGGGCTGAGGACCTGCTTACCTCCACCACAGGCCTGGATGAAAAAGAGCTTGGGCTTCCCTCCCAAGCTGGGGCAGCCGGTTCCGTTGAAGATGTTCACGATTTTCTCGATGGACACAAGAAACCCATCTGTGCCGTAAACAGCCCCCGGGAACTGGAGGTGGCTGGCCTAGAAGACCAAGAATCCTGGTTACAAAACCAAGGGGTCGGGTGAGAATCTCCGTTCTAAGGCTTTGTGGGGGCCAAGCATCTAGAAGGTCCCAGCCAGGGCACGAGGTGGATTTAGACAGAGCAGGTTGGTTCTGGATGGGCCCAATCAGCTTCCATTCCAGGGTCTCAAACTCACGTACCTACAGGGGCCAAGACAGCCTAACTAGAGAGTGCCAGCCAGCTTCTTCTAGATCAGTGGCTCTCAAAGTGTGGTCCCTGGACCAAGAACATCAGCATCACCTGGGACTTGTAAGACATGCGAATTCTTGGACCCCACCCAGAGTGAAGACTAGCAAGCAGGTCCTTCGGGTGCCTCTGATGCAGCTAAATGTGGAGAACCACTGTTCGAGATCAATTCTTCTCAAACTCTGTGTGTACGGGACCCTGTTAAAGCATAGGCTCTGAATGAAGAGGTCTAGAGTGGGGCCTGAGAGCTTGTGTTCTCACGAGCTGCCAGGAGATGCCCATGCTACTGGTCCCAGGGCCATACCATGAAGGGAAGGACCTGCCCAGCTACAGGCCACACAGCATGCCCTGTGAGGATGCTGGCCTGGTAAGGACGGACCTTTGTGGTTTTCAAGAGAAGATGAAAACCCTAATTTTTTCGTGAAAGCTGCCATTTTTTCAAACACTGTATAACCCAGGGGGTTATACAAGACCCCAGCTTGTAATCTTTAATCTGTCCAACCCCCAACTTAAAAGATGAGGAAACTGAGGACCAGGAAGGGGAAGGAGCTTGGCCACAATGATCCGGCACATTCGTGGCTGAGCCCAGAGTGGATGCCAGTGTCCTGACTGCCAGCCAGCAGCAAGGGCCGGCACCATGCCCAGCTGGACGGAGGCAGGAGCTAGGAGTTCTTATGGGCTGTGCTAGCTCTGAACAAAATCCGGGGGTAGAAGCTCTGTGAGCAGAGCTTGTCTGCTCCTTGCCTCTCCCAGATGCTTCTCCCAGGAACACCCCCGCCCCCTACCCAGGGAGAGCATCCAAATCCTCAGAGGACCAGATGGTACCCAAAAAAAACAACAGGAGGTGGACAGGCCCCATGGCTCTTCCCATAAAGCTGAGGGTGTCCCGGACACAGGATGGGTGGGGCTCCCGCACAGCCTTCAGTGCAGCCTTTCCCAGGCACCTACCCAAGGAGCTCAGGCCTCCTACCTGGCAGCCGTGAGAGAGGATGACCACCACACAGCAGTCCAGTGCGCCGTGGTCCCGCTGTGCCAGCTCCACCAAAGCCTGGACTATTTGCTACAAGAGAAGGCTGCAGGTGAGCCAGAAAGCTGGCGGATCGGGTCCCCACGGGTCCCCATCCCTGGGCGCACCTCCCCTACTCCCAGGGCCAACACTGAAGTATGACAGTCTAACGGTCTCAATAACCACCGTTCTTGAGGAACAGGTGCTGTGCTTGGGCACTGTTCATCTAACCTCGCGGCGACCCCAGGAGGGGAGCACTGTTCTTGCTGTCTAGACAAGAAAACTAAGGCTCAGGAGTCACACGGCAGGTGGCTGGAGAGCCAGTCTTTCTGAGCCTGAAGCTTACACTGGTAACCACTGAACAGTACTGCCTCTCACGGTCCTACAGACCTAAGAGCTCTTCTTAGAGAGTCCACTTGCTTTCGGGGTCTCTTGTAGGACAAAGTACCCCCCGCCCCCAGCCCCACGGACAGTGACCATACCTTGCCAGTCAGGTCGCACTTCACCTCCACCATGAAATGTAACAAGCGGAAGCGTCGCTGCAACTTCTCACAGTCGACGTCGGAGCCGGGGCGGGTGCTGAGCCCCGACTTGAGGCAGAAGTGCACGTTGTTGATAATGAGGCAGTGGCCACAGGGGTCTGCGTTCAGGACGTATACCTGCCCAAGCACAGGGACCGGCATAATCCGGGGTCTCACTGCACACCTCAAGAGGGAAGGTGACCCCCTGGTTTTTACTCATGTGGTTGACAGTCTGGAGCGATGAGAAAGAAAAGGGGTCTGCCCCCCACCCCCTCGGAAGGATCAGCAGGGTCTACACCCAGCACTGCAGGGCAGAAGCAAAGACTGCAAACCAGACTCGGGTAAGCATGAGCTGTGTGACAACCGAACAGCTAACCCTGGGGGAGGAGATTAGCTCCCATCACGGTATTCAGGGATGGGAACTGCTAGCTTAGAAATCCAGCACCCAGAGACATTCACCCCAAGGAACCTTAAAGGCCATCCAGTCCAGGGGAGCACCTGAGCATCAAGTGGGTGGCTCTGTTGGCAGACGCAGCTCAGACCATCTTCAGAGCGCTGACGCTGCTTCCTCCCCAGGCTCAGTGTTTCCCTTGTAATTCTCTCTCACATCAGCCTGGTTTTTTTGTTTACGATACTTAACACTATTTATATTTATACATTTCTTTGTGTAAGCAGCCCCTGCTAGGCTGATGGCTCCACAAGGACTAGAAACACAAGTGGTCTGTTCTCAGGGCTCCCAGCATGGAGCCCAGGGCTGGCACATAGGAGTCACACAGTAAATACTGTGAATGAGAGAATGACTCCGTCTGGGGTGGGTGTCACACAGCTGATTCCGATGCCACCGCTCATGAGGTCTGATCCCCTGACTTCACAGATGAGGAAAGAGCAGAGCTGGACACTGTACTCCAGGAAGAGCTGTGCCGGGGTCAGGGAGCTGCAGGGGGCATGGCACTGGGACCCTCTCTCCAGCTGGGCTGGGTTCCCTGGGCTCCCGACGCAGCTGCAGGGAAGGTCCTGGGGAGTGGAGAGCGGAAGGGCCCAAACCAACGCAACTGGCCCCAAATCATACCAAGACTTACCAAATCGGCGTTTCCCCTCAGTCCCTCCTGAGCACCTGGAGAGAGAAAGAGGGAAAACACAAAGGTCAGGGGCCAACAGGGGAGCGGCAAGGGACTCTGTGAGGACAGCCCTCACAGAAACGCAGGGCTGGGAACTCAGGAACCCTCAGACACTGCTGGGAGGAGTCAAAGGGCACAACCCCCTTGGAGAACTGTTTCTAATAATTAAATGCACACCTACCCTCTGACCAGCAATTCCGCTCCCAGGTGTTCGCCCAAGAGAAATGAGTGCAATGGACACAAAAACACTTGGCCACCAATGTTCACTGAAGCCTTATTCATAACACCCAGAACCAGAAACAACACAAGCGTCTGTCAACAAGTCGATGATAAACACATTGCGATACACTCACATAAGGGAACACCACACAGCCGAAAAAGAAATGAGCTACCAATACACGCAACACCATGGATAACCTCAAAAACATGACGCTGAGTAAAGAAAGCCAGAAAAGTATACACAGCATGATTCCATTTACGTGAAATTCTAGAACAGAAGGATGTAAGAGAAGCTCCAGGAAAGTAGATGCTCCCATTTGTCAAACCCATAGGGCCCAGCACAGAGTGGGTCCCCATGAAATGTTTGCAAAATAAATAAATCAGTAAAATGGTCATTTTTTCCTTCAATGTCAAAAGAATTTTCATTTCAACTAGCTAGAAGTCAACTAGCCACCAGCCTATAAGGTTGTGGGACATTTTTTTCCTTTTAAGCTAAAAGAACATAGTGGCTACCTCCATGTCACATTGGAGCCTACCCTCATGATCCAATGATGATGACATTCATTGCTCAGAGCAGGCCTGAACCCTTCGTTGAGAACTATTCTCTTGCCAATTTAAAAGTCATGCTGGAAAACCATTTATATCCCATTTGTAAAAAAAATAAATGGTTTTACCTAGCCTGAGGACTTCTATTAGACCACAGACTTAATTCTGAAATTATTGCTCATTTCAAACATCCAATGCACCCCAAAAATATAACCATCATCCACTACTGAGGAACTTATTCATTTCCCAAATTAGCAATAATGATTGACGAAGTGAGAGTGATCCCATCAAAATGACAGAACAAGAATTTTCCGCTGCCTTCTCTCACAGAGAACACCAATTCTGACAATCACCCACAGACGAGCGTGCCTTTGTGGAAGTCCACAAGTCCAGTGGAGAAATTCTAGTTCATCGCTGATGCAAAAATAAAATAAAATAAAATAAATCCAAGATTGGATGCATTGAAGAGGCCAGTCAGTAAAGATTGGAGGAGGTGATGTTTCTTCAAACACAGGCACAGAAACGCAAGACTTCGAGGAACGTGAAAAATCAAGAAAACACAACACCACCAAAGGAACACAATAATTTTCCAGTAATTAACCCCAAAGAAATGGAAATCTGAGATTTGCCCAATAAAAAATTCAAAATCATTGTTTAAAAGCAGTTCAGTTAGCTACAAAAAAAAAAAAAAAAAGACAATTCAAGGAAATTGGGAAAACAGTACACAAACAAAACGAGACATTTGACAGAGACAGAAATCACCAAAAAAGAACCAAACAGAAATTCTAGAGCTGAAAAACACAATGAAGAAAATGAAAAATTCAGCAGAAGAGCTTATCAGACTTGATCAAACAGGAGAAAGAATCTGTGAGGTAGAAGACAAGTCATTCGAAATTACTCATTCAGAAGAGAACACATGCTTTTCAGAGAAAGGGCTGCCAAAACTGAAGACCTACCAGAATATTCCACCCATAAGTACTCAGAAAGACAAGATCAAAATTAAATTCTGAATCTCTGCCTTCCCAGCTGCACCAACGGTCACTCCCCCATGAATGCTCATTACGCCCACCCACCAACTACGCTCTCGGTACTCACGGACATCACTGAATCTTCTGGAACTGATGTCCACTGGTCTGGGCGCCTCTGGTCTGAGACCCTCTGGCCTTGGGGTCAGTTTAGACGGATCTTGCTTTACCATGCTCAGCTCCTCTGGTTTGCCGCTCACTGGTCTAACCACCACAGGCATGAGGTCCAGGGGTTTGATGGCCTCCGGATTCCGCTTTGCTGCTTGGCTGTTCGTTCTCAGCAATGAAGCCAGGCTGTTCTGGCCCGTGTCCTCCAAGCAGGAGATGAACAAAGGAAGGGCCTGACTCCCTCGAGTCTCCAGATCTGTGATCAGCTGCCTGGCCTGATCGCGACGAGACCCAGAGCCCGCTCGCTGTTTGGAAAGAACGACAGGGCGCTATTACACACGCACTTTCTGGGACTCTCACCTTATCCCCCCACTTCCTACACGGCATCAATCTAAACAATCAGGGACATGGGCAAAAATTGAGATTCCCTTTGTTGATCTATTAATTCGGTATTTTGGAGGCATTTACTATGTGCCCTGTGCTGTGCTACGTGCTGAAAATGCAGCAGCAAATAATCTCGGTCCTTAGGAAGCGATCGATGGGTGGGGGATGCAAACAGAGAAATCGACAACAACACAGCAAGGAGAGGTGTGCCACAGGGGACTGGGAAGGTACAGGGACACCCAACTCAGCCCTGGGGGGTCAGAGAGGATTCCAGGAAAGGATCTTGGCTGAGGCCCCAGGAAACATCAGTAAGTGAACAGTGAATTTAGTGGGGGTAGGGAACAGTAGTGAGGCAGGGGGCATTGGTGTGGTCATGCCAAGAGAGCTGTGAGAAGCACTGAAGAGTTTTAAGAAGTGGGGTGACAGAGTCAGATCTGCCTTTTAGAAAAATCATCCTGAGGGCAGGGTGGACAATAAAAGTGAGCCACAGCTCACTTGGCAGCAAAATCGATACAGCTAGAATAAAGACAAGTGAGAGGACAGACCAGAGAAACAAGCGGGGAGAATAGACAGCACGGCCATTGACTGGGTGGACTGTGAAGATGGAGAAATGGTCAAGGTTGACAGGTGTGGGGATGGGTAGGGCCAGTCACTGAGACAGGGAGCAGGGCAGGAGCACTAAGAAGATGCTGGTTATCTGCTGGCTGTCCTTTGAGACCCAACATTGGGCAAGTTCCTCAGGATGCACAAGAATAAGACACCACCCTATCCTCAAATGTCTTGCAGCAGCACTGTCCAAGGGAACTTTCCGAGATGATGGCGATGTTCTTTATCTGCAGTGTCCAATATGGCTGCCCAATCAGCCACATGCAGCTAATGAGCACTTGGGTGCTATGACTGGGGAATGGAATTTTTTAGTTTGTTTAATTTTAATAGTTCAGATTTACATGTAAATAGCCACGCGGCTAATGGCTACTATATTAGAACAGCGCACACCTATAGTGTCACTGAGAAGATAATTCTCAGCCACAAAACACTGAGCTATATGCCTACTTCTCTGCAAGTAGATTGTGTTGCTTGATTTCTCTCAAAAGTTACTGAACACTCACAAAAAGACACTTGTTAAATGCATGATTTCATTTAGTCCCCTCAACAACCTTAAATTATAATTATCCACTCTATAGAGAGGGAAACTGAGTCACAGAAAGGCATTGCAACTTGCTAATATATAACAAAGCCAGAATCTGGGCTCACATCCATGCGGCTCCAAAGCCTGTGTGTTCATCAGCCACACCAGGTGTGGGGAAATGGAGGCCTGTCTTTCATACAGCATTCTTTTAAAATTCTGAATTGTTAACATTTAAAATCAGGGAATTTGACAGCGAGAATTCCAGTTTCTCTTTAAAAACATGAAAGATCTAGCAACACTGGACCATACCCAGCTGGAGCTGGGGAGCAGCGCAGAGGCTGCCTACCGTAGTGCCCACACATTGGGCCTCCATGGGCATCGGAGTTAGTGACCCTTGTGAATGTACCTGAAGGCAAGGATATGACCTTGTGCCATTTCCACTCTTGAGTATAGGCCACACAGCAGGTGCTCACAAGGCTTCCTTTAATATTATTATTCATTGGTAATTTTCCATATGACACTTGACCTATTAAAGATTTCCTCACTGGGTCAAGCCGAGCTGCTGGGTGATGGAGAAACTGAACACTTGGCCTGCAAGCAGACCACCCGGCACCAGCCAGGGACCTCCAGGAAACCTCGCACACCCACTGCTCCTCGCGGTAGGAAATACCTCCTGTACCCACCTTACCTCAGAGTCCTGCGGTCAGGGTCAAATAAGACAAAGACATGAAAGTGCTTTTAAAGAGAACTTCCAATCTTTGACTTTATTATTCCCTCCATTAAATGCATCAGGCCGTTCATCTCCAAAAAAGCTTTACAAAACATAAACAACACATGAAGGACTGGCCAAGGAGGCCAAGGCACAGCCAACTGCCATAGGTTGAGTGTGCCTGACACTCCAGTTTCACATCCGTTATCTCATTCAGCCCTCAGGACACTACTACTGTTGTCCCCATTTCGCAGCCCAGGAAACTGACTCAAAGAGGATAAGTGAGTGACTTGCCCAAAGACAGGGTTCCAGGCTGTCTGACGCCTAAGTGGGTGCCATGGACCGCCACGCTAGAGGAGGAAAACACACATGCCTCCTTGCTGGCAAAAGCGCAGTGCTGCAGCAGCTAACAGTGCACGCTGGTGGTGCAGGGCGCGGAACGGCTTTAGCAAGCGCTCAAAGAGGTGTCTGGGATCGTTTGGTTCCGCCGCGCAATTCAGTGGGCTCGCCGCCGTGTGGGAAAACGGGGTTCCCACACGATGGTTCCCCAAAGGAGGTGGTTACTAATTGGCACAGACGGGGCAAGGGAAGTGGGAGCTCGGCCTTTAAGTTACGTAGCAGCTCCAGCAACCCTCTCAGCGCGGCTTCGCTGTTCCCATCTGTGACAGAAGCCTGCATGCGGCGCGGGAATTGGGGGGCGCGGGATGGGCGAGTGCGCACCTGGATGTCTTCGATCATGTCGGGCGTGAAGAGCTCGTAGTTCAGTAGAGCGTCCCAGAGAGATGCCACCTGCAACTCGCCGACCAGCCGCACCCGGCATCGCCGCAGAAGTTGCCGGTCAGCCTCGTCCATGGCGGGAAGACAGCCCGGACCCCGGCCGCC